CTTGAAAATTCAAAGCCTGAAATCTTGTTTCCTTTTAGTATTAATATGATTCATTAAGGTGATTATATTTATTATTGAGGATTTTTTATCGGTTATTTTAATAATTTCGGAAATTTCGAAAAAATTAACTATACGGATCGTTTCTAGTGCAATACACCATAGATTTTTTTAAAATAACTAAAAGGTACACTTTTTGAGCGATAAATATGGGTTTTTATGTCAATTTTTTTTTATTCGATAGTTTTTATTATACCCTTTTCTACAATAGGCTCGCTTTTACAATTTTCATTAGCTTTATGTTTGTCAAATTTAGAACAAGTTTATTTACATTGTTAAAGAATTTACTAATTATAAAATAGTATAAATCGAAAAAATGGCTCTATCCCATTAAAGTATAGAATTTGCTTTATCTTCTTAAAAAAATTAGACCAATAATTATTATACTAGTTCGAGAGAAAAGCATACCGAAAGTTGATATTATCCGCAGTAAATTCGGATTTTCATAAAAAAGATTTATCATATACGACCCTAATTAATGTTTGATTTTACTAGTTTGATGATTACCTTAATAATTCATGTAAAATAAACCTATCTAAATATTTAAATAAATATTGTTGGGTATAGGTCTTATAGTTCATTGATTAAGCTTTCAAACCCTCATTGACAAGATTAATAATTTGAGTCAGGTTGGAGGTATTTTGAAAATACTTCTGTAACCTAAAAAATAAAGATTATAATCGAATATGGAGTCTTGTGAAAAGTCCATATACAAGTATAAATTAAAAAAAAAAAATCATAAAAAAAGATCTAATTATGAAGAAAAAGGCATTATTTATAATAGCAGAGTTATAAAAGGTTCTGACAAATGTAACATGTATATGTAAGTCCTTAGCAAAACAATGCAATACCAACGTTCTATAATTTTTAATTAAACAATACCAACATCCTTACATCTAATTTGTAGAGTAATTATTAGATTATGTAGATAAGTTTTATTTGAAATTTAATACAGTTTAAAAAAGTAAATTAAGGTTAATAAAGGCTAAATAATGAAAAAAAATCTGCCATTATTTTACCTTAGAGGCATGCATTGGATCTCACAGTCTGGCCTGAGCCAGGATAAGTTTGAACTAAAATTTTATAATTGTAGATCAGGCCAAACTAAAAATTTTTTAAAATTATATAATAAAATTTGCAGACTGGGTCAGGTTGAAGAAAAAAATTTAATATATACAGACTGGGCCAGGCTGACAAAAAAATTTTAACCCTAAATGTAAGCTGGACCAGGTCTCAAAAATAGGCAATTTGCAGGCCTCTATTTTATCTTATATCTGTTAAATAATAACAGCATAATAGCAACAATAGCAGAATAACAGTAAAATAACAAGAGGTTTGTTAATATTAGTAATATAACAATAACATATTAGTGAAATAATAAAATATTTCTATTATTTTATATTTAGTTACAAGATTAAAAATAAAATAATAAAATTCTTTATGATTTTGTTAATATATATATTACTATTACATTACTAATATCAACAAACTTTCTATTATTTTACTATTATTTTGTTGTTATATTGCTATTATACTATTATTATAAATAATATAAGGTAAAATAAAACAGATTTTTTTTATTATTTAATCTTTATTAATTTTTATTTATTTTTTTAATCTATATAAGTAATAAATATAAATATAATCTATAATAAAAAATTAATCTTATTAAATTTAAAAACACTTTTAATAATATATAAAAATCTTCTATATTATATAGAAACATAAGCATATATAGAAAATAAATAAAAACCTAATAATAGTATTTAATAAAACATGATATTAAAAACAATTCTTTCTAATGATCATCTGAACCAAACTTTTCAAAAAGCTGAATTATAGAAAAATAATATAGTTAATATATTAAACTTTATAAAAACTTTTTTGAAGTAATGTATATACATAGTTAGACATTTAAATAGAGTTAAAAAAAACTTACAGCTTTGTAATAACAATTTAAATATGTTTAAAACTATAAAAGAAGTAGTTAATAAAAGCTAAAGTTTTTTATTAAATAAACAACAAAGTTAGATATATTAGTTCTATACAACTGTAACACCTATAAGAAATATTTACAAGAATCTAGAACTTACAAAAGCTATAAAGTTAGTTTATCTAATATCTTTTTTTTTTAAGAAAATTTTGTAAAAGTAGATAATTTAGTTTACTTCTTTCTAAAGATTAATATATAAAATTTTCAAAACAATCAGCAGTATTTATTTTCTAAACAGAATTATTGAAAACATAAATTAAAAATAATATAGCAATACAAATATAAATATATATATATTTTGAGCTACTAGAAATTTGTTAAATATTGTTTTTAGAATAACTAGTACTTTATGCTACTCCTCTATAATTAAATCAAAGTTTTTTACTTCTTTATAGTTTTTTATTAAATAATCTAAATAAATAGAAAAATAGTAGAGTAATTCTATTTAGTATAGTTTATAATTTTTAAAAGCCTAATACAGGCTTATAATTATAATTATTTGATATCTGTAAATTGTAAGTTTTATACCCAATACAAGCTTAAAATTATAATCATCTGATTTTTTGTAAATTACAAGTTTTATGTTTTTCTTTTTTTTTGTTTATTTTCTTTTTCTTTTTATTTCTTGTTTTGTATCTTTTATTATTTACCCTTATACCTCTGTGTTTTTTTTTTATATAAAATTATTTTTTTGTTTTTTGTCTTTCTACAAAAAGATGTCATCAGATTGGTGATATTCTATTGTAGAACAATAGTTAGATAAGCAGTCTACTTCTGTTTGAGGTAGTATAACAGATTGCACTTAGGTATCAATAAGGTAACCAGATAATGCTAGACTTAAGTATTAAAAGAATTCTATATAATTTGTATAGTTTTAAGAATTCTGATAAAGTACTAGTATAACTGTTTAAGGTAAAAAAAAATATTTAACAAAAAATTAGGCTAATAATATAATAATATATGCAAATATTATAAATAATACTGTAGAAATATATTAATATCAAATACTAACTAATTTGAAAGAAATTTAAATGTAATTTTATATATAAACTTTGTTAGAAGTAATATGTATACAAACTCTATTGAAAGTAATATACAATAAAATAAACCTTATATTTTATTAATATATAGAAATTTTTACTAATACATAATGCATAATATGTATAAAAGTTACTATTAAATATATAAATACTAAAAGCATCAAATCTAAAAGTTGATTAAGTTAAAAACTATAAATTAATAGAATAAATTTGTTGTATAGATTATAATTAGATCTTGTAAAGATATAAAATAAAAACCAACTAATATACCTTTAATATTAAAAAAAACTAATATTATATAAGAAATTTACAAATATCTTTAAAGTAATTCTAGCCACTCATATAAAATATTTTAGTAAGCAATATGAGTAATATAAAGAATATATAATAAAAAAAAATAGATTAAAGTACAAAAATTCTGATTTATTTAATTATGAAGTTAATAGTTTAGGTTAAGTATATTTTGAGAATAAAGCAATTTTAAGTTATATATAGATACTAGTAATTTGTATAATATATAAATAAATAAATATATATAAATATAGAATATTATTACAATAACCTAAAATAATCATCACCTCAATACTATATCTCAAAAACAGGACTAAGAAACAGAGATCAGATATACTAAGTAAAAAAATGTTCAAAACCTTTTAAAACATTGTGTAACTAATATTTAAGATATTATATCTGACCTTTGTCTTGATCTTAAATTGCACTCTAACTCTAAAAATAATGAGATAATGATCATCTCAAGTTATTATAATTATATTTCATAAATTTAATAACTTATAAAACTATAGACTATAAGATCACATATAAAAAATATAAAATCTAAATTTATTGTTATACTGTTAAGGTTTTTTTAAAAAAATTTTATTGTTAAAACTTTAATTAAATATTATATGTATACATGTAAGTAGTTTATTAACATTATTATTATAAACAATTATTTTCTAATACTCTATTTTATCTAATTTTAAATCTTAGAACTAACTTTAAGAAAATAATTATGTTATTAACTTATAAATAAATCAAATTTAGTAAAATTCAGAATATTGATCAAAAAGCATCATATATAATAGTATAATTATGCATATGCTATGTTTTAAATTAAATTTATATTGACTAAAATTAAATATTATATTAAGTATAAATTTATGTGAGAAATAACCATTGTATCTATTTTAAAATCCAAACTTGGTCATCTATAAGTAGGTTATCCAGATAGTAATTTTTATTAATATAATTTTTACTATTACTAAAAAAATTATTTCGTTTCACCACTTGGTGATCATCACCAGTGGTTTACAATAATAATTAAAATTAAATTTTCATCAAAGCAAAAATTAATTTTTTTAATACTTGAATTAGAATAAAGGAAGTGTTATACTCAGAATTTCACGGAGAATTTTTTTTATTAGAACCCAAAGTAGTTTTGTCAATAAAATTTTATTTTATATTATACATTGGTGATGATCACCAGTAGTAATAATTTCGTAGCAAATCTCTTATAAAATAAATTAATTCTGAATTTTAAATATGTAATCTAAATTACACAAAAATAACATTAATTTTTCGATATTCATTTTATTAGTAACGATATAGACATTTGATCTTGTGACTCTGCGATCTTACATTGTTTTGTAGAAAAAAAAGGGTTCGCAAAGGTTGTAAATCATTCTAAAGAGATGTAAAGTTGCGACTTTGCAACATGCATCTCTATTAACTTCTAAGTTTTTGAATTGTAATTTCATTTAAAATCAATGTTTAAATATTTAACAAAAAACAAGATTTACAGGATTTAACAAAAATAAAACAATGAGTGTATGATTTTATTAATTGAAATTTATACCCTAGTGTAACATAAATTAAAAATTAAAAACCCGGTACCCTTTTCTTTTAATAATCTAAAAAGTTCGTGCCATTCTAAGGAAAGGATGTGCTTCAGTATTAAACACATATGTATCTAATGAAATAAGGTCCGGTGGACTAAACAGTAAATATAAGTATTTTAATGTTTCAGCCAAGAAAAAGCTATATTTTTTAAATAAAAACAGTCAGAATCAGATATTAGCATGATAATAGTATGATAAGATGGTCAAATATACATGAATTACCTTTCCATATTGTCATTTTGTGCAGCGTCTTTTGAATTTATATTATATAATCCTGAATAAGCTGAAGGTGTTTTACACCATTTTTCGATGGCCTGTAATGATAATAAAAGAAATAAAACAACAATTGGATTTATTAATGAAAAAAAAAATAATCATAAATTGACATTACCTGCCATATTTTCCATCCTTTTTCTTGATATTTTTTATCACCTGTTACTCTATATAGAATAAATAAACTCTCAATAGTTTCTGATCAAAGTAAAATAAATAAGGTACCAAAATTACAAACGTACAGTTTATCAGAAAATATTTAAGACGGAACAACGAAATAACGATAAAATAAAATAAAAATACTTCTTACCTGGTCTCAATATATAAGAATCACTCAATCGAAGCACACCAGCTGGAAGGTTCTCGTATTCACCTTTTTGTTTCAATAATTTTTTTTCTTCTTCGTTATATGTATCATTACTTGACATAAACCAAAGATCTTCAGGGCCAATTCCAGTATATGTCATTTCATAGGCCCAATAGCATGCTTCTGCCAATTTTATTGCAACTTCGAGATCTTTAGGTCTATCAAGGACTTTTGATCCAATGGCAAGCATCCCAGGAACAAAACATGTCTAAAAAAGTAAAGATGCTTTAGTTTAAATAAAAAATATATCAAAAAATACTATTACTGAAATTACCAAATGCTGCAGCTTTCCAACAAATGATCCGTACGATAGTTCGCCAATAAAAAGTAAATCTGGACGACCTTCAATTTTACCTTCTTTAATAAGGTGTTCGTGCATACTATCAATTGATTCAACGTCTATATAAAATCATTAACAAACCTATTAGACAAGTAAATAGTAGAGCATATATTTATTTAGTTATATATATATATACATACACATTTTTCGAACTTGATCTATCGCACCTCCAACAAAAATGTATTGCTTTATTAAATACTATTTATTTAAATTAATCAAAATATTAAAATTTGAAAAGTATGATTAGTTTTAGAAAAACAAATTTATATTAGATTACAAACCTCATAAAAACTATCACCACTACCACCAAAAGATATATCGTCTAATCAAATTTACAAGTACTCGTTAAATAATACATGAAATAATATTAAACTTGAATTCAAAGAAATTAAAACCTACGTCCTACAAATTCACCAGTGTCTATTAAATGAAAGAATTTATGATTAAAAAAACATGTCAATATTAAACAAAGGGATTCTACAGTTAAAAATTTACAACAAAATAATAATTCATACCATGATCTAGTGACAAAGGATATAATCCAGGGATAGGTTTTGTTGCACTATCAAGAATGTCTGTTATATTGTTGACCTTTAAAAATATAAATATTATATAAATTGTTAATCATAACGATAATTTTAATCTACAATGTTAAAAATTACAATGTTAAATTGTAATGTTAAATGTAAGGATAGTAGCACACCTTAAAAAAAAACTCGCTGTTACCCGTTAGTTGAGCTAATTTCATAAATTCCAATTGTAAAGTTCCAACTTGAGCTAAATTGCCCAAGCCCCAGGGTTTATCAAACTCATCCATATTATTCCTGTAATTGATAGAATTAAATAAAAACATAAATATGAAAAATATTTAATAGTGAATGAACAAACCATTTAAGATCCCAAGAATTATAAGGAAGACCCGATTCACTGCTAAAAGAAGGTAATAAAGCGTTTCCTAAGTCCAGCGCTTTTTTTAAAAATATAGGATCATCTGAAAGTTCATATGCACTCAATAAACCACCCAAATAACGAATAGTAGTCTCAAATACACTAATTTGATCTTCGCTTGTAGTAAAGTCCACAGTTTCAACGAAATTTCTTGACTTATTAAACTCATCTTTTAAACCCATTATCCAAATAGTATCTAATGAATCAACAATCGTTGCACCCCAGCCATTAAAATTATCACGACCATTATTAGATACAGGTTCTAATTCATCTTTTCCCCAAGCATATTTCGTGTACCCACTCCAAGCATGTTGAAACCCTTTTTTTATAGATTCACGTCTGGATTCACGAATTAATTTTTCATTTAATGTTTCAGGAGTATCAAAATCATATTGTATTTTAGGAAGACGGCTAACATTTCTTAGATATACTTCTGATCCAAGATAATATGAAATTTTTAAGGATGGGTCAAACCAAAGAAGTGAATTATCAAAAATATCTGGGATAAAAACGAATTGATAAGATAAGAACGCAATTATAAGTAAAAGAACTAAAGTAATTCGAAGGCGAGCATTTAATCTCCATGGTATTTTAGCGGTAAGTTTACGCATGGCTCGCTAAGCTCTATATCACTAAATGATAGTTAAAAAAAAAAAAGAAAGAAAAAAAAGAGAGTAGGAAAGAAAAGAGAAGACCTTATTTTTCTTGTACGCCAATCGTTAATCAAGTATTTTAAGCCAAATTTGGTTCGTGTAATGTGTAATCTTTAATCAGATTACCAATAGTAAACAAGATTAAAACGAATTTAATAGTCATGGAGAACGAACTAAGCCGCATCGAATTAAATGTCAGGATATTCGGATTCGATGAATTACAATTTGTAAAGACTCTATAAATGCGATTTTATCGTTGAAGACGGTATTAAATGTAAAGCGATAGGTTATAATCATAGTCATGTGATCGATCGGCTTAATCATCAGTCGATCGAACAAGTTTCTTATAGTTAAAAAGCAAATCGCTTACATATTAGTAATGCATTCCATTTAAACAACCCAATTTTGTGTATCACTGATATGCAATTTGTAAAGTTTAACTTTGAAGTTAATATTATTTTCAGTTTTATTGTTAACTACTACAATAAGAGCTAAAGAATGAACTAGTTCGTTCAACAAAGGTTGGGAAGCATTCGGTTACATGGTCAGCGTGAAACGTATTATTCCTAGCGTCGCAGGCTATACGGGTTTGCATAATCCGAAACATCTTAACCATTTTATAAAGACAAAAGCTTGAAAAGTTCATTTTGGTTCCTAAAATCTAAGACTTTTTAGTGAAGATCGTATGTACATAGTATTATAGAAATTTAAATTTCTTTACTGTTACCGTTACATAATTACAGTAATTAAATATAGTTAAATATTACACCAATTTGTGTAAATGATCACAAATGGCCTGTGTAAATTGCCAGTTAACTTTACTATTACCAAAGTTAAAATCGAAAATTCCATCTTATGTATGCAATTTGTTGGTCATTATTAATTTAACTTTCCGATTTTCATAACCTAACTAAAAAAAAAAAGTTTTTGCTGCGAAAATTTCTGGTTCAGACATTATAATACTTAAATAATAATAACGGAAATTTAGTAAAACTCTTGGCGATTTTAAAAAACTGGTCAAGTCATGTTGTTCAATAACCGTTATGCATTAACGTCACAAATGTCATGTCAACGAGAATAAGTGACGATTTGATGCATTATAATCGCTGTTGCAGCAAAAATAACACTAGTGAAATTACGACAACAACATATTCAAATGTGGTCAAAATTGGTTTACTTTTAATTCTATATATCCATACATGGAATAAAAATAATTTTACTGAATTTAGTTTGATTTGTTTTCGTGATATCGCTAATGCTATTTTTTGCTGTTATAGAAAAAAATCCGAATCCGTTGTTTGTGCTAGCGTAAGTTGATGCAGGTTCAATAATAGTCATGTACGTACCTCAATAATAGTCATGTACGTACCTCAATAATAGTCACGTACGTACCTCAATAATAGTCATGTGCACATATAAATTAATCATACAAACTCAGCCAAATACTGCATGAGACCCTCAACGTCTCATAACAATTGGTTTCAGAATTAAAGTGTGAGAATCTATTTTATCACGTCCATTAAACATTTCTTATTGCGAAGATGGTTCTTATAATAAAAAAAAATTCCTTATACAGTTCTTTATAGAGTAGGTTTGTTATAATAAAGGTTCATTGTATTCAAAATAAATAACATCCGACCCATTTTCTTGCGAAAAGCGGATTAAGTCTATTTGTACTCTAGGTGTCATAACGGTGATATATAGCAAGAAGTGAAACAAGTTACATGTGTACAAGTTTTATCAATTGTATTTCAAACTATTATTACGTAATGAGGGATGAGATGATAATGGGTTTAGAAGCCGAATGAAAACATTTCACTTTATTTGTTTATATACTTTTTGATTGTCGTATATGAAAACACCAGACTTTCCAAATAATGAAATAAGTTAATCATTGGTCACATGTCCGCGTCTCCTCCCCAGGGTTGACATTGGGTTCAATGGATTTATAGTTAACGGTAGAATCATTGAATTACTGAATTACGGCATTACAGCATTTAACCATATGGTAAAATTTAGAGATGCGATACGTTATCCGGTTTCCTATTAAAATTTATGGATATCCGGATATTTATCTGTTATAATAATTTTGTTATAAAATTAAACTGACAGATATCCGGATCGCATCTCTAGTAGAATTAATTACGGCTAATTTCTGTAAATATTATATGTTGTAACGCCGTAATAACCTAATTAGAGATTGAACCTAGTGAATCTACGTATAATAGCAGCTTTTTCTTAATTTGATTTAAATTTGAACCATCTACAATTATATTACTAAATGTACTATCCTTTTCATAGGGAATGACCTTCTGATCCAGCAGTAATAGATTTAAGCTTGCACGCTCTTTACGAATACAATCACAGCAATTAGACTAAAAAGAAAAATACTTAACAAACAACCTTACATGTGATTGGAAGTTTTTTTTTCACTTGGGTAATGTATAAGCATAACAATAATATTTAATCTATAATTTACCGATAGAGCCAATGAGTCCAACATATATTTCCACCCGCGCATAATTTTGAGTATATGCACGTTAATTAGATTACGTGCATGGGCGTTATTTCGAGACAGCAATTGATTTTTAATAAACATACTTTTCTAACGACCATGTGCATTATATATAAGCAGTAATGCCAAGAGAAAACCAGTACGTATATCACAGATACTATATGGGCTTATACATGCTGGACAAATCCCAAAATAATTGCTAATTATAAAAAAATCAAACAAATAATTCTAAAATTTTTAAATATATTTTCTATAGTTATAAGAATATACTTGGCTTATTTAAACAATGATTATTAATAAAATTTTTGAGTTATGAATTTGGCCAGGCTCGTCCAATTTAAGTTTACTTAAGGTGGACAAATCCAAAAGGTCTGGCCAAATTTATTCTTATAGCTATAGAGAATATATTTATAAAATTTTAGAATTAATTGTTTGATTTAATTTTTTATAATTACAATTATATTTTAGAGGTTTGGGATTTGTCCATATTTGTCCAGAATGTATATATGGGCTAGGTCTGGAAAAAGGGCCGAAAATGATAATTTTTTCAAATGAGTTTTTTCTACATAAATTAATTTAGAATAAAATTAAGTTCATTTTTCATTTAAGATATGAAAGTAGTTGTATTAATAAAATTTTGCAGTATAGCTCTTTAAAGTTTGCATTTTCTTATGATTTATCATAAGATTTATAATATAAAAATTGATTTTTCGAAGATCTTTTTTTCTTTTCATTTTCGGCCTTTTTTTCCAGCACTTCCGCATTAGAGATGGGCAAGGTAATTACTTATTACGTAAAAAATCAAATCACATTATGCGACAATTTACTAATAATATATACTTACAACTAATAACATGCTAAATTGGCGCATAGCGTGATTTAACTTTTACGTAATAAGTAATTACCTTGCCCATCTCTATTCCGCATGGGTCGGATATTTCAAAGTCAGAACTAGCCATATTTAATTGGGTAGATCCAATTCCAGCCCATGACCACATGGTACAATCCATGGATTCAAAGTGCACAAACTGCAAACGGTAAATTAAGGAAAATGATGATTATATCTATTATCTTGGCCAATCAAATTAATCAAGGACTATCCAGGGATTTTTGTATCTAGCGCTAGTCTCTGAATATCCATTTACTATTGATATCCGGATAATTATCCGGATATCAATAGTAAATGGATAAACAGATAACTCTAAGTCAAAATTTTTGGGCTAAGCCTGGAGCAATATATGGATCTTCATGGATAGTCCAGATTATGCGGAGTCTTATATGGGTGCGCCAGGGATACGGAAATTATTTGATTTAAACAAAATCATACTAGGTCGCATAATTTTACATAACTTATATTATGTAATGTCACATATATTCGTTTTTATAGGATAGTAGTATGTTAAAATGCGAAATAAATTTTAAAAATATTTTTAGTAGTATGTGTAAAAGTGTAAAATAAATGTTAAAAGTATATATAGTTTTTGTTTTAATATAAACTCAAAAAGAATTAGTAGAGCGTACATATAAATTTCATGATTTTATTAGATAACAAACTTATGCGTAGATTTTGTCGGTATTAACTCATTTCCCCGACAACCGTTTCACGGACAGCCCATTTCTCCGATATTACATTTTACAGACAATCTATTTCACCGACACTGATTTCGTTTCACTGACAGCATACTCCCCCAACAACTATTTGGAGTCATTGCCTTGAAAATCAAGTGCCTCATGACTTGATTTTCAAGGCAAAAACCCCATTTGTTTGATAGCCATTTCGCCGACAGCCAAATTTGACCCGATTTAGGTTAGAGTTGTCCCGATCTATAGTTAGTGTCTATAGGATAACTTTCTTCTAATTGGTCAAACACTTAGGTAGGCAGAGCGGTAACGTGATTTCCGACTACTTCTGACCTAATACAAATTACGTATTAGTCTGTTAATAATCATTTCAACGTAATACGTAATTTATATTATCAGGTCGGAAGTGGACGTTACCGCGATATTTTTCGATCACTTACAATTGTATTTATACAGTAAAAGTGAAAATTAAAACGTCGCTATCTTCCAAAATATCCTCAACCTAGAGGTGTTTTACTTAGAAGGTAAAAAAATTTCTACGTATTATAACTATCACTGGTTAAGAATTATATTTTAACTAAAAAATATATTAAAATACATATATTACCCAGTAATTAAGTTATTATTTGTACTATAATTACAGGTATTATTTAGTTAAAATATAATTTTTTCAACCAGTGTATAAAACTATGTATGATTACTAAATGGTCGAATCTACTTGACTTAGTAAAAAAAAAAAAAACTAACAAACATCTTTTTAAAAATAGATAAAATGTTTTGCTGAATTATGTATATGGTGTTTGAAAACATAGTATAAAGAACTTTTACACAGTACGCAAGAAAAATGGTTAGTTACAAGAAA